GCAACTGTCTTCTAGTTCCTGCTTGTTCTTGGGGCATTTTCCCTTCAGTTTTGTCTTCAGCAAGTGAAATGCATGCTCAATCGGATTCAGGTCAGGTGAGTGACTTGGCCATTGCATAACATTCCACTTCTTTCCCTTAAAAAAACTCTTTGGTTGCTTTTGCAGTATGCTTTGGGTCATTGGGTCATCTGCACTGTGAAGCGTCCAATGAGTTGTGAAGCATTTGGCTGAATATGAGCAGATAATATTGCCCGAAACACTTCAGAATTCATCCTGCTGCTTTTGTCAGGAGTCACCTCATCAATAAATACAAGAGAACCAGTTCCATTGGCAGCCATACATGCCCACGCCATGACACTACCACCACCATGCTTCACTGATGAGGTGGTATGCTTAGGATCATGAGCAGTTCCTTTCCTTCTCCATACTCTTCTCTTCCCATCACTCTGGTACAAGTTGATCTTAGTCTCATCTGTCCATAGGATGTTGTTCCAAAACTGTGAAGGCTTTTTTAGATGTCGTTTGGCAAACTCTAATCTGGCCTTCCTGTTTTTGAGGCTCACCAATGGTTTACATCTTGTGGTGAACCCTCTGTATTCACTCTGGTGAAGTCTTCTCTTGAATGTTGACTTTACACACATACACCTACCTCCTGGAGAGTGTTCTTGATCCAAGGAATACTGTAAATGACTGGCCAACTGTTGTGAAGGGTGTTTTCTTCACCAGAGAAAGAATTCTTCGGTCATCCACCACAGTTGTTTTCCGTGGTCTTCCGGGTCTTTTGGTGTTGCTGAGCTCACCGGTGCGTTCCTTCTTTTTAAGAATGTTCCAAACAGTTGTTTTGGCCACGCCTAATGTTTTTGCTATCTCTCTGATGGGTTTGTTTTTGTTTTTTTTCAGCCTAATGATGGCTTGCTTCACTGATAGTGACAGCTCTTTGGATCTCATCTTGAGAGTTGACAGCAATAGATTCCAAATGCAAATAGCACACTTGAAATGAACTCTGGACCTTTTATCTGCTCATTGTAAATTGGGATAATGAGGTAATAACACACACCTGGCCATGGAACAGTTGAGAAGTCAATTGTCCCATTACTTTTGGTCCCTTAACTAGTGGGAGTTCACACATATGCAAACTGTTGTAATTCCTACACCGTTCACCTGATTTGGATGTTAATACTGTCAAATTAAAGCTGACAGTCTGCAGTTAAAGCACATCTTGTTCGTTTAATTTCAAATCCATTGTGGTGGTGTATAGAGCCAAAAATGTTAGAATTGTGTCAATGTCCCAATATTTATGGACCTGACTGTAAGCATTCCAAGAATTTCCTCCTCTGGACTGCACAATATTTCTACTTAACATTTCTCCTTTGCAATATATCCTTGATATATTGATATTGTGGAAAAGCATCAAGTTGTGATACAGGGAACATTCCTTTAATGAGGACTCTACTCTTTGTATTCTAGAATTTCAAATGCGGAACTGTGCTGGTTATCACGGGAGAATAGTGATGTTTATACAGGGTTTATGTCCCCCAAATCTACAAGGGGGAACATTGTGAGATCTGTGGAGTGTGGTTTTTGTTTCTTCATGTTTTTAATGATGTTTTCAGTAAAGAAGTCGTTTGAGTTCCTTGACCATCTGTCTACTAAGTCATGTTTAGATCAATACAATAACCAAAAACCTTTGAGTCCAGGTTGAGTCCATAACTAATCATTTTAGTTTGGTTTGCTATTGAATTTCTGATTGTGGACTCCCAGACTACACACTGTTTGTAGACCTTGAGGCTTTTTCTTGGGAGGTATTACAGCTTGCACAATTCCAAAGCTTTTGCAGACCAAGGCAATGAGTTTTTCAACATTAGCAAGTATGTTCTGCAAAGCTCCCTCTTCAATATAGTGACATTGTGGGGAAGAGAAACCCTCTGAAGCTTCCTCCAATACTGCCTTGATATCCTCTTCACTCCCTTCTATGTCTGCATCCTCTAGGACTTACATACCAGTGTCTGATTCCAGTTTGAGAAACTAGAGTAGGAGAAAAAGGTGGGGTGTTTTCAAGCTCTGGACAAAGATGGCTGTATCAAAGCCATAATCTGTCCAAGGAACTAGGACATACTGTAAATGCATAAATAGAACTAGAATCGGTTGCTGGGACCAGCGTTAAAACCGGGTCCTGCCCTGGTGAAAGGAATGCATTGTCCTTCTGAGGTTGAGTATTGTACAGGCCTTCGGCAGAACAAATGTGTGCCTGCGGCTTTTTTGAGTTGGCTCCCTTTCGCTTGGAAAACCCTCAACCATGGCTAGGATGTGTTATTGAAGTGTTTCCAAGAAAATAAACTACTCCATCTGATTTCTCCTTGAAGAAGAGGTCCATCACCTTATTAAATGTGTGATTTGTCCATGCATAGTGATCTTCCCTTAGCTCCACCACCATGAGCAAGAGTTGTACCCTGTAATTCTAAATATAGGGAAGTTGACTAGCTCCCCTTCCTCTGATGTGCTAGTGATTGTCTGCTCAGGTAGCTTGCTGTGACATGGGGTGGGGAGCCCTGTGTAAGTGTAAAGCTGTGACTTTGAGCTTATACAGCATATTGTCACAACCCTGGCAGCTAATAGACGCTAAAGCTTGGCAGCTAACAACCTGTTAAAATGGTGTACACATAGTCCTGTGCTTGAGGATGGACTCAATAAGGTCTACAACCACATATCGGCTGCCTTGGAAAGTGCATGCCTTGCTGCCCTCAAAGGACCTGGGAACTCCAGACACACTGGATGCAATGAAAAACAGAGGGCGCACAGGCCTAGTGCATTACCTAAAAAAACGTTTATTGATAAAAAAAAAGTATTATACTGACAGAGGACAATAATGTCAAAGGCACATCATAAAAGAACAGCACTGTCCAGTCCACACTTGGGGATGTCCGCAATGGGAACCCTGGACCTCCAACAGGCTAAACGTGTTTCAAGGACTTGCCTCTTCCTCAGAGGGTCCCTTTACAAATCAACTTCCACATATTTGTTTCCTACAGCCTCCATAAAACTTAATTTATTCTCTCTGGAGAAGAGTTTGAGGGGGGATATGATCTCCATGCATAATACATAAGGGGGGATATGAGCTCCATGTATAATACATGAGGGGGGATATGATCTCCATGTATAATACATGAGGGGGGATATGATCTCCATGTATAATACATGAGGGGGGATATGATCACCATGTATAATACATGAGGGGGGATATGATCACCATGTATAATACATGAGGGGGGATATGATCTCCATGTATAATACATGAGGGGGGATATGATCTCCATGTATAATACATGAGGGGGGATATGATCTCCATGTATAATACATGAGGGGGGATATGATCTCCATGTATAATACATGAGGGGGGATATGATCACCATGTATAAATACATCAATGGTTCATATAGTGAACTCGGTGTAGAGTTATTCACCCTGAGGTCATCACAGAGGACAAGGGGACACTTTACGTCTAGAGGAAAAGAAATTTAATCTCCAAATACGGAAATGTTTCTTCACAGTGAGAGCTATGAAAATGTGGAATAGACTCCCTCAAGAGTTGGTTCTAGCCAGCTCAGTGGATTGCTTTAAAAAAGTCCTGGATTCTTTCTTGGATACACAGAATATAAGTGGATATGAACATTTATAGGTAAAGTTGATCCAGGGAATATCCGATTGCCTCTCGGGGGATCAGGAAGGAATTTTTTTTCCCTGCAGGAGCAAATTGGATCACACTTTGCTGGGTTTTTTGCCCTCCTCTGGATCAACTGTGGGTGAAGGATTTTAAATATATATATATAATTTTTTTTTTTTTTTTTTTTTTTAATGGTTGAACTGGATGGATTTTGTCTTTTTTCAGCCAGACAATGTAACTATGTACTTCTGCCATATATGATATTACTCCCAACAAGATCCATTATTAAAAAAAAACTGAGGGAAAAAAAAAAAAAAAAAAAAAAAGACTGTGTGATGGAATTGGATCAAACCATTTAATTACTGGAAACCAGTCTAAAGGATATTATAAGGAAAACAAAGAGTACTTGTCTGCAGGGGCCCTGAGGGCCACACAATAAGTACAAAAAAGCTGCATGTTGGCACCAGGGTTCTGAAGAATGGTGTCACTATTTAAGCTATACTGGAAAAATAACAGAACAATCTGGGCAAAAGGTCAAATATTTTTCCATTTTAAGTAATTAGTGTATTTCACGGTTCTTTTTTCGCATGTTTGGTATTTTTCATGTTTTTATTCTCTTTCTAGGTGGAATCTCTCCTCACCCTCCCTCTTTCTTTGGCCTGTACAAGCTCTTGTCAGGGATACACCTATTTCCGCCAGCATGGCCGCTATGCCTACACTCTACCAGTTTTTTCCGCCTGCCAGGTCACAAGGTGTGGGGCCTCACTGCCATGATGACAGACTCTGCTCTCTCGCTGCTCTCCCTGGAAGCTATAAAAGCGTCCTCAGTGGCTCTCGCTCACGATAACGTATTGGAATAAATGATGGATAAGACAATACTGTCGCTTGATTGCCACAATAAAGTTATTTTTTTTATTATAAACTCGGTCTGCTCATACACAAAGCTCTTCCTGTTTTTGCACTGGTTCTAGCAAAATGAATATGCATTCTTACAGCGGTTTTTTACAGGATATGATATGTGTACCACAGGTGCAGTTTTGCCTTTTTTTCTATTGATTTCAATAGTGAGGCGCATTTTTTTTTTTTTTTAACCAAACCTGCACCAAAAATGCAGAAGGCAGGATTATAAAAAACGCACCTGACCTGCAACGAAACACAAAAGAGGAAGAAATAAATGGATCAGTGTAAAAGCAGCTTTAGTGATTTACAAAAAACATCAACAAGACAGGTCAGCTTAGAAAGTTCAGGTTTATTAACACGTATCAACACAAGCGGCAAAAGCGACATTCTGCTCTGATAAATAAAGCGGATCTGGTTATGTCATGTCAGCTGTGTGCACTCAGTTGCTGGCCTTCTGTCTATTAGTTGCATGGAACAGTCTAATCCTCTCCTCCAGCTCAGGTCGGAAATGACGAATCAAACCCTAAAAAGAAGAATGGGACTGTTACATAAAACAATAGGCAAAGCATAAAGAGAAGATAAAAGACAAAATTCCAAACGAACAGCCCACCCACATCCAATATTCTAGTTTTGTGTGGGTGCCAATAGTCTCTCTGCTGAGTTTTGCTTTGATGCTACAAACAAGTCAAAAGATACACCCTCCTTAAAAATTCAAATTTAGACATTGCACTAAAACCGCCATTTTTATATTCCTACTTATGCATTCCTGTTAGAACAGTTGTACAGAGTTACTTATTATGACAGTGCACAGTAGGAGACACGCAAGACCTAGTGCAATCAGTTCTCAATAACAAAGCTAGTACCCACCAACTTGTTCTGAGGGGTGTGGCTATTACTCAGCTCTGCCAGAACAGACCCCAGCAGAGTGAGAACAGGAAGCAGCATTTTTCGTATTTGAAGGCATTTCCAGCCACAAAATTGAACATGTGAAAGAGATGCATTTGTTTCAGACATTAAATGGGCTTAAAAAAAAAAAAAAAAAAAAAAAACCTTTCCTAAGACAAACATGGAGCTTGTTGTTCCCAGCTTTTCATTCTGCAGCTGACTCTCTGACTTCAATCATTTGAGTTATTGGCCTAGAAAAGAATGCAGAAAACTGCAAACTTTGAGTCACCAACCTGGAACATGTCCAGTATGTAAATGAGAAAAGTACTGAAGCCAGACAGCACAGGGGCCAGGCAACTAGCATTGTAAGAAGGAAGTTAGTAGTAGCAGTCACCATACTTGGAAAAGCTTTAACACTGTGACAAGGGAAGTATGGGAGGTGTCATTGCTGACCACCTGCCAAAAATTCTAGTTGCCTGGTTGCGGCTGACTTAAAGCTGAATTTCACTCCTAATAAGAAGTACCGATTTTCTGCTTCCAACACCGTGCCCCCTCCCTTTCCCTCCTTCAGTCCCGCTATAAGTCGCTGTTTTATCGCCGCCATTACTAGTATAAACAAAAGCGGCGGTTGCTAAAAATTCCAGTATATATACTTCCATTTGTAAACGCTATCAAACTTTCAGATGTAAACCAATTTAGAAAAATACATGTATTGGGACGCCTCTTTTTTTTTAAGCAGACGTAGCAGAATACATTTTCGCCTAAATTTGATTTTTTTTTTTAAATTTTATTGGATATGTTCATTAGCAAAAAGTAAAAAATATATATTTTTAAACTGCCTATCTTTTTTTGATGGAGCAAAAAATAAAAAAAGCAGAGGTGATCAAATACCACCGAAAGAAAGCCCCATTTGAGAAAAAAGGACATAAATTTCATTTCGGTGCAGGGTTGCATGACGGTGCAATTATCAGGTAAAGTAACGCAGCGCCGTATCACAAAAAATAGCCTGGTCAGGAAGGGGGGGTAAATCCTCTGGAGGGCAAGTGGTTAAGGTAAAAAAAATGTAGACTTTGGAACCACTTGAAAGCAGTATTAAACCCTCAATGTTTTTAACTGAACACATTTAGCACAGTAAAATAAACATTCCCCAGTATTTGTTAAAATTCGAACCCAAACATTTGCAGTTTCCAACTTTCAATGCTGCTGGCTTCTGCTCCCTCGAACTTGCAGTCTCCACAGGAAAAAGTTAACAGAGGACAGTGCAGTCAGATTGGAAAAGGGAGGAGCAGGGGAATGCCTTGCCACTCTAGACTATGGGGCTGTGTGTTTCTATCAATGCACACAGTGTACAGAGACACAATTCTAGTCTGCAAGCAAGAGGGGATCAATAGGATTCTAAAGAGGAAGGAACCACCCGGAAACAGGAAACCTGAGGCAGCAATGATAGCACCAGCTTAACCACTTCAAGTCCGGACACTTTCAACCCCTTCCTGACCAGGTCAATTTTCAGCGCTATCACACTTTGAATGGCAATTGTGCGGTCATGCAACACTGTACCCATATGAATTTTTTAGCATTTTTTTTGAGACAGATAAAACTTTATTTTGGTGGTATTTATTCACCACTGGGATTTTTATTTTTTTGCTATATAAATGAAAAAGTCCAAACATTTTGAAAAAAAAAAGTGTTTTTCATATAAAATTTAGGCAAATAAATAATACTGCATTACAAGTGTAATAATAATGTCAGGAAAACTTGTCAGAAATGATTCATGCTGGTAGCAGAGGAACAAAGCAGCAGACAGAAAAGACACGCTATGCTCTTACTTGAGACAAGTACATACTATAGAGGGATATGCCTTGTTTATATTTCATGTCTGAGGTTTACAATCTATAACTTTTAAAGGTAAAAAGCTTAAGACTTTATAACCACTGTAAATAACTGAGGTTTTATTATTTCAAGACTCCAAGAATGAAGGTAATTTATGTGGGAAACACACATCTTGAAGATAAAGATTCCACAATATTAATATCCCATTGTTGTTAGAAGACCTGAATACATCTCCCTCCTCCTCCAATAGAAATCCTACTGCACGGTGAGAAGTATTTACCTGCACAGGCCAAGCCGCACCGTCCCCTAATGCACAGATTGTGTGGCCTTCGATTTGCTTACTGATCTCCCACAACATGTCTATCTCAGCCTCCTGGGCGTTCCCTTGACACATCCTCCACATCATTTTGTTCATCCAGTCAACTCCTGTGGAGGAAGATCAAAGACCTCTATAAGAAATAAGGACAACACAGTGTCTTGCTTTGAGCTGCAATGGCAGCACGTTTACTGGGCAGCAACTTTCATGGCTGATCTGGGGGACATTTTTGCACTTCCAGAAGATAACACTGTGATGAACTGGGAAATGGGCATTGGGGTTATTGCAGTGGATGGCCTACCCGTGGGAGGACCCAATAATGCTGGAAGTGCTGACTTTCTGGCAGAATTACCACACTGACATCTTTGGTAAAGACCCTCAAATTACTGCAGCAGGCAGAGCTGTAAGAACCCAATTCAGATTGTCTGCCTTTTCACTTGAAAATTTCTGCATCAAGTGTTACACACATTGAAATTCAAGTGTTACTAAACCCACAACAGTAAAATCAGTCTGTATATGCAGTAAAGCATGCTTGTTATACTCACTGTGGAACCTAAGGGGTTAATCGTCTGCATTGTATAAAAACGCTGTTTGATCCTGGCTGCTCTGATCCTCCCCTTCTTCCAGTGCCCCCCCCCCCCCCCTCCTTATCTCCTGATAAGACATTATGTGGATACTAACATTTATAGGTAAAGTTGATCCGGGGAATATCCAATTGCCTCTCGGGTGATCCAATGCAGGAGCAAATTGGATCATGCTTGCTGGGTTATTTTTTTTTTTTTGCTTTCCTCTGGATCAACTGTGGGTGTAGGATTATAAAAAAAAATTTTAATCGTTGAACTGGATGGACTTTTGTCTTTATTCAGCCAGACTATGTAACTATGTGTGGAGACACTCTGCACATGCTCAATCTGGTGTGTATTGCTAGAGGGTTTTTTTTTTTTTTTTTTTTTTAACTTGGGAGAGCACATGTGATCAGCACAGGGCCAATCAGCACTGTCCAGACAGAGGTCAGGGATTCTGCATCCTCCTAGAGCAGAAAGAAAACTTCCCCTACCAACTTTAACCAGTGCTCAGCTGGACACTTGATAGAAGTCACAAGACTGCTATATACTACTGATGAGAAAAGGTATTTAGCAGTTTATATTTACTAAAATAATTGCACTTCTATGTTCTGTGTACTGTGGGAGACTAGATATAGTGAATGCAGGGTCGGGGGGACCGGATACAGTGAATGCAGGGTCCGGGGAGAGCGGATATAGTGAATGCAGGGTCTGGGGAGAGCGGATACAGTGAATGTAGGGTCCGGGGAGAGCGGATACAGTGAATGCAGGGTCCGGGGAGACCGGATACAGTGAATGCAGGGTCCGGGGAGACCGGATACAGTGAATGCAGGGTCTGGGGAGACCGGATACAGTGAATGCAGGGTCCGGGGAGACCGGATACAGTGAATGCAGGGTCCGGGGAGACCGGATACAGTGAATGCAGGGTCCGGGGAGAGCGGATACAGTGAATGCAGGGTCCGGGGAGACCGGATACAGTGAATGCAGGGTCCGGGGGAGACCGGATACAGTGAATGCAGGGTCCGGGGAGACCGGATACAGTGAATGCAGGGTCCGGGGAGACCGGATATAGTGAATGCAGGGTCCTGGGTTTAGTAACACTTTCAGTGCGAAAAAAATTTCATGCGATATTGGTGCTAAACATTTGGGTTAGCTTTGGTATAGTGCGATTAGTGTAGAATTAGTTTTTTATGGGCAAGATAATCAGTTGATGCCTAAAGACATACACTGATACACCAGTGAAAACACACGCTACGACACATGCCTCTGTAGTGTTATAACATACCTTCCCTGCATGGTGTGCACTGACCGCAGCTCTCGTGCTTATAGAATTCTATAAGACGGGCAATAGCGCGAACGATGTCTGTCTGCAATGGAAGAATGAAGTCAGAGGAGAAGGGTACTTGCAGGTCATACTAACAGTGATTACAGGACTCTCAGACAACTGAACTCACTGATTTATCCATGACAATGAGTGCAGCTGTGCCCAGACCAGTCTGGGCCTGAACAAGAGCATCAAAGTCCATGAGGACATCATCACATACAGAGCGAGGGATGATAGGGGTGGAGGAGCCTCCAGGAATGACACCCAGCAGATTGTCCCAGCCACCAATGACACCACCTGAAAAAACAGACAAAAAAAAAAAAAATCACCAGAAATATCATATGCAGTGCTAAGACAAGGTCATCTAGCTCCCAGGGCGAAGACACCAAATGAAGCCCCCACAAAATGTATGGACATTACAGTATGTGTCCCTATTTTAACTCCCTGGGGGAGTTTCGATTTTCAGACACCTGACCACCTACTATCCAGAGAGGGGATCTCTCATCCTGGGAGCAGCACCCATTTAACCCTGAGCAGCACCCATTTGAACTCTGGCAGATGTGGATCACCTCTTAACCACCTTGGGATACCTTTGATGATAACCCATCCCTTAGAGGGAAGACATCCCCATTCCTGGCTTGCTCTGACATCCTTTGGAATTAACACAAGCGCAATATATATGCGCGTCCGGTGAGTGCGCATTCTCTCCATCATTATTGCACAGTCACCGATTCCCAGGAAGCAAGCACCTTAAGGAACACTTTAACTGATCATTTATTTGAACTGTTTACGAACTGGAAACACACTACCATTTAACCTGTTTCAATAGATTTATTTATTTTTAGCGCTGCACCTATCTTATATTGCTTTTATTAAGGGTTTCTGGTTACCTTTGTGCATAGCGGCTTTTACTGGTTTTTTAGAGCACTCACATCCCGTATTTACAAGTCCCATCATGCCTTTGCCTTTGGGAGTCATGCTTGTAACTGTCAATCTTGCAATGCCTCATGGGACTTGTAATTTGGCAACAGCTGGAGGGCTGCCATTTTGACACCCGTGCTTTAGATGTTCCAGCATCCCCTGCTGTAATGTCTCACAGGCTGGGATGGATCTAGGACCAGGCTGTATTATGTAGTCTGCAGGGAGGCCCAGGGTTTGATTGTGTAGGACAGCTATTCTCTTCTTTGGATAAGCTGCTACTTCTACTGTTCGCTTAGGAGAACTGAGCGTACATGTTTAAATACAAAACTATCGGAATAATCAAAGAAGGGTTGGAACAAGCCTGCGAGGCGAAGGCCCAGGAAGCAAGTGGGGCGTTGTTTTGAATAGGCTTAATATATGATATTTTACCAACACAATGAATAAGGCCTCAACTTAACAATTGCCATGTAACATTTAACAAAAGCCATTGCTTCTTCTGCACATGCTTACTTTATCTATTAACCCCTTCCCTACCGGGCACTTTTACCCCCCTTCCTGCCCAGGCCAATTTTCAGCTTTCAGCGCTGTCGCACTTTGAATGACAATTGTGCGGTACAACACTGTATTCATATGAACTTTTTAGCATTTTTTGAGACAGTACTTTCTTTTGGTGATATTTAATTGCCACTGGGTGTTTTATTTTTTGCACTATAAACAAAGAAAGAGCAAAATATATACACACACACACTGTATGTTGAAATGTGTTTTTATTACAAAATATACGAAAAATATTTTTTAAAATACATTTTAAATATACTGTATTTCTTTAAAAATACAAATCTACATTTTTGGAATGCATTTACAATTATATGTAAAAATAGGTTTTAAAATTACTTTTGCATATGTTAAAAAAAAAATCTGAATATATTTAAAAAAATATACATTAATTTTAATATATATTTTAACATATGTTTGCAACTGCATTCCAAAAGAGTGTGTGAATGAGTGTGTGTGTGTGTGTGTGTGTGTGTGATATGGCCAAAATTGCAGTATTTCAAATATATGTCAATATATTTGGGAAGAATATTTAAAAAAAATATATTTCAAATATATTTTTCTTCCATTTGGGAAGTGCTGCTGATAACCAGCAACTGTATTTACTCGGTGATCTACTGTGTCATTGGACACAGCTGATCACGTGGTAAAAGGCCCCTGTGATTGGCCTTTTACCTCACCATGTGATCAGCTGTGTCCATAGGAGATCACGTTGGCTGTGTGCGGGAGGGCACTTTCTGGGAGGATGTCGTATGGCGCCCTCCCAGAACTGGACAACCATGCTGTAGAGGTCATTCGGCTATAGCACAGAAAGGATTTGGTTAACCCTCAGCACTGCCTCACATCGACCTTGTAGTGAACACTCCAGTGTAGTCATACTGTACCTGCATGCCTTTCTATAAGCTCCTTCAATGGTATGGACATCTCTTCCTCTACGGTACATGGATTGTTGACGTGACCGGAGATGTTGAACAGTTTAGTTCCCGAATTTCTTTCCCGGCCAAAGCTAGCAAACCAGGGGCCTCCACGTCTGCAGATGGTGGGCGCCACTGAAACGGTCTCCACATTAGCAACAGTTGTGGGGCACCCAAAGACTCCTACAAGGCAGAATGAGAGACCACACCTTTAATATCCATCATCTACCACCAGGTGTCTAGATGCATTCAGCAGTAAACAGCGCTTTAGTATAAAAAAAGAAAAAAAAAAAAAAAAAAGGAGAGTAGAGAAGGCAGACACCGTTCCGGCTTCAATTATCATACAACACCATCCTAGGCTAACAGAACCAGGACTACGTGAATCTAAATATTTACTCTCAAAATAGAACTAAAGGCAATTTGTTTTTTTTAGTTTTCTATAGAGTGGAGAGGGATTAGAACACTTGTCAGGTAGTGGTGCACCGAAATGAAAATTCTGGACTGAAACCGAAAATTCAGGATGCACTTGGCCGAATACTGAAAATGAAATGAGCAGTTTTTTAAAGAAAAAAAAAAAAAAACACATTTTTTATACGTAATTGTATTATATTCGACTTTTTACTTCGTATCATGAATTTAAATGAATATGAATTAAAAAAATACAATCCAGTAACGTAAAATAACTTTTATTGAAAGTAACACAGAAAATAAAATGAAATATTTAAAAAATTAAAAAACTTAAACAGGAGGCGTTTTTACATTGAAGTCAGTAGGGGGCGTTTTTGCATTGAAGTCAGTAGGGGGCCTTTTTGCATTGAAGCCAATGGGGCGCATTTTTGCATCGAACTCAATTATTACCAGCACCTTTTTTTATCTAATCGGCAAAATGTTGATAACCCTATTTTTGGACGATAATTTTCGGCAACCTATTGTAAGGTTTTAATTGCTCTCTGTGGAGGGAGATTCACCGTCTATTTGTCCTGTTATCACCAAAAGTGAAGGAAAAAACTGATTTTGGGTTGTTACCAGAACAGGAATAGAGGGGAAATATTTTAAAGGGGACACTAATTCTAGTGGAAATGAGGGATTCTGTCAATTCAAAGGGCTTTCCTCTCACTTCCTGTTTTGGTTAAGGGACAGGAAGTGAAGGGAAACAGATGACAAAACATAAAACTGACAGGTGGTATGACACTCCCTTACTCTATCCAAAATGAAAAAACTAGTTTTTCCTTTAAAGTAAAAACGTGCACTTTGCTCATTCTGCCTTAAAGGCTTACATAACCTGCGCTCCCCCTTCTTCTCACTTTTCCACCAGAGCCAGATATAATTGGCACCATAAATATGAGCAATATTTCTTCACTTCTTGGTACTTTTTTTATTTATTTATATCAATTGATATATGTCACGGTTTTATAATTGCTCACTTTGATTTTATACTTGCTTTGGAATGTATTCCACCTTTAATTAAGGTAATAAGGATACACAAGGTTTATTAATATTCTTTCACTTTAATATTATTTATATTATGATTTGACAATATGGCATTTTAGTATTTACAGCGCTACACCGTTTGTTCAAAATAAATGGTTTACCCACCCCCACAATATGCAACCAGTAACAAACTATGGCAAGCCACAAGCTCTGTAGTTTAGGTGGCCCGAATGGGCATGGAGGTTGCCTGTATTAGGGAGCCCCTAGTTAGCATTGGGCTTACAGAGGAATTCCAGCTTACAGTAAGTTGTTTTAAAACAAAGTAGAATTTCTGCCTACCTCTTTATTTATATTTCTCATGTACTTAAACTCTATTCTCTCTTCTTTTCTCTTCATTTTTACTTTATTCTATATGATTGTGCCTTTTTGATATGTACAATTCAATTGTGCCTTGTTACTTTTTTTACACATTGTTTGAAGCTGTAATGTTATTTTACAAACTATTTCTTGAAAAATAAAATTGTTTGTAAACAAATAAAACAAAGTAGAATCGACAAATAAAATATAAACTAAGCCAAACCGTATACTACTCAGAATTAAATGGCCTAAAACTGTAAGTCATTCAGCTTTTACTGTATAGGTTGTGGCAGGTTTTTTGCAATAAATAAATAGCACCGTTATCTGAGCTACCCTGAATATCTGAACAGGGATAAAGTAGAAAACTCCGTAAAATTTACCAATCCAAAATAAAATAAAAGCTTTGTACAGGCACAAAAAAAAGAAAAAAAAAAACTGCAGTGGGCATCTTTTTTACACAACTACTCTACAGTGTACTGTTTATTGCCAAAATGACAGGTGCATTCAAATCCCAATGACATAGATCACTTGAACCTTCTTTGTGAGCTGCCACAGAGTATGTACAAGCCAGTCTCAGCATCTCACTGTATATGACTGATCACTGCATCGAGAGCGTCTTCTATTGGACTGAACTGCATTGGGTGCCGCGGCTAATTTTTGTGCACAACACATGCAAGGTGGGCCTCTTCTGTGCTCTAGGCCCATAACTCTGGTGAGTACCGTAATTGCTTGATTAGTAGAACTGGTTAAACATGTGTTCCTAATTCTAGATGTAATGGAAGGCATGTCGGTACTTACCAATGTCAGCGGGAAATGGAGGTTTGAGACGGGGCTTCCCCTGCTTCCCTTCAATACTCTCGATCAATGCTGTTTCTTCACCGCAGATGTATGCCCCAGCTCCTCTTACAACAAACACGTCAAAGTCATACCCGGAGCCGCAGGCATTTTTTCCAATAAGTCCCGCCTCGTACGCCTCCCGGATAGCCACCTGTTCCAATGCAGAAGAGCAAGTTTAGGGACTATAGTACATTCACATAATGTATATCAGACTATGCATATAAGTTTAAAACAATAGCAAAAAGGAGGTATAGAAACGTTATAACAAAACAACATTTTATTTTTTGTTTTTTAAACTTTTATTGCATTTTATCTAAACACAGACTTATTGAGATGATGTAATCCGAGATAAAGCATTCCAGTCCTACTTGCAAACTTTAAGCTGGTCTCTACCTGCACTTTTCTATACAGACTGCCTTTTCCCTGTTTCTGTTCTGTTCCTCATAACTGGCCTGTAACCTGAGACTACTCTTGGCAGCGTGTGTCTAATACGAAAAAGAGACCTCAATTAGAACTTTGACAAAAGTTTTTCAATACAGCATAAGGCAACTTAGTTGTAAAGACACCATAGAGTCGGTGTCCATACTGCAGAAATATTGGTAAAAAATAAATAAAGAAGTGTGATACTGGAACATCAAATAGTAATAGCAGACGGAAATAAAATGCTACCTAAAAGTATAAGGACCAAATGCCACAGAAACACACTAAATGATTGGATGAGCATCTCTGAGACCCAGTCAAAGCAGAGTTCCAGCTAAAAAAAAAAACCTAACAATAAAAGTCAGCAGCTACAAAAACTGTAGCTGCTAACTTTTAACATACAGCCACTTACCTGTCCCTCAGTCCAGCGGCATCCTCACCACCGCTGGTTTCACCGGCCATCTTCTCTCCCTGGTGCCACCATCTTTAGTGTGGGCACCCGGATGTGACAACTTGCAGGTTCACAGCCGGGTGCCCACTGCACATGTGCTGCACTTTGTGAATGGCCTGTACTCTTCTGGGACCTGTCACATGTCTCAAAAGACTACAGGGAGGGAGGGGGGAGAACAACTTTTGCTTTCGATCGCCTAGGCCAGTGGTCGGCAAGCAGCGGCTCGCGAGCCACATGCGGCTCTTTACACACTTTAATGCGGCTCTTCTGTGTGCCGGGCGCCCGCTCCCCTCCCTCCTCTCGGGCGGCCGCCCCAAAAGTCAGGACTCTGCAGCTAGCCCAGCAATGGGCAAACTACGGCCCGGCGGACCTTTTAATCCGGCCCGCGGAGCGTGGCAAACATTGGCTGTCAGGATGTAGGCGGGGCAGCGTGACAAACTCCTCTCCTCTCACAGTCCGCCCTGAAGACCGGAACGGCGCGGGAACACGGCGAGAGGAACGCGCGGAGCAAAGGTAAGTGAATTGACACAATATGGGAAATGAATTACTATAGGGGGGATGAATTACTATATGGGGGATGAATTACTATATGGGGGATGAATTACTATATGGGGGATGAATTACTATATGGGGGATGAATTACTATATGGGGGATGTATTTTCAGTTTTAAAAATGTGTCTCTCAAAATAAATTTCAATCATGGTTTTGGCGAGATTTGGCTCAGTTGAAAAAAAAGGTTGCCCACCACTGGCCTAGGCAATTGCAGCGGAAGTGGGAGCGGGTACCTGTCAAATTCAAGTACCCGCTCCGCAAAGGTGCCAATCCTTAATGGGGAGCAGGGGACATAGAATTAAAGCGGAACTTCCCCTTTTGGGTGGAACTTTTTTATTTATTACAGGTACTAATATAGCGCCAGTAATTTATGCAGCACTTTACATATATATTTACATGTATTTTCTAACATCAGTCCCTAACCCTCCCTCATACATACACATACTAGGGCCAATTTAGACAGGATCCAATTCACCTACCAGCATGTCTTTGGAGTGTGGGAGGAAACCCACGCAGGCAGAGGGAGAACATGTAAACTCCATGCAGGTGGTGCCGTGGTTGGAGCTTGAACCAACAACCCTAGTACTGCCAGGCGGAAGTGTTAACCATTTAGCCACTGTGCTGCCCCTCCTTTTTGCTATGGTTTTAAACTTATATGCATAGTTTACTAAACCCACAACAGTAAAATCAGTCTGTATATGCAGCAAAACATGATTGTTATACTCCCTGTTGAACCTAAGGGATTAATCCTCTGCATTGTGTAAAAAGGAGGTTTGATCCTGACTTCTCTGATCCTCCCTTTCTTCCAGTGTCCCCCTCTTATCTCCTGATAAGATTTATTGTTTGGAGACACTCTGCACATGCTCAGTTTGGTATGTATTGCTAGAGGGGGGGTTTTTTTCTCTTGGGAAGGTGCATGTGACCAGCACAGGGCCAATCAGCACTGTCCAGACAGAGGTTTTGCATCCTCCCAGAGAAGAAAAGAAAACTCCTCCAACAAGCTTTAACCAGTTCTCTGCTGGACACTGAAAGAAGTCACAAGACTGCTATGTACTGCTGATGAGAAAAGGTATTTAGCAGTTTATAGTTTATATTTACTAAAATAATTGCATTTCCATGTTCTGTGTACTGTGGGAAACCAGATATAGTGACTGCAGGATCCGGGGAGACCAGATATAGTGAATGCCGGGTCCGGGGAGACCAGATATAGTGACTGCAGGATCCGGGGAGACCAGATATAGTGAATGCAGGGTCCGGGGAGAGCGGATATAGTGAATGCAGGGTCCGGGGAGAGCGGATATAGTGAATGCAGGGTCCGGGGAGAGCGAATATAGTGAATGCAGGGTCCGGGGAGAGCGAATATAGTGAATGCAGGGTCCGGGGAGAGCGGATATAGTGAATGCAGGGTCCGGGGAGAGCGGATATAGTGAATGCAGGGTCCGGGGAGAGCGGATATAGTGAATGCAGGGTCCGGGGAGAGCGGATATAGTGAATGCAGGGTCCGGGGAGAGCGGATATAGTGAATGCAGGGTCCGGGGAGAGCGGATATAGTGAATGCAGGGTCCGGGGAGAGCGGATATAGTGAATGCAGGGTCCGGGGAGAGCGGATATAGTGAATGCAGGGTCCGGGGAGAGCGGATATAGTGAATGCAGGGTCCGGGGGAGAGCGGATATAGTGAATGCAGGGTCCAGGGAGAGCGGATATAGTGAATGCAGGGTCCGGGGAGAGCGGATATAGTGAATGCAGGGTCCGGGGAGAGCGGATATAGTGAATGCAGGGTCCGGGGAGAGCGGATATAGTGAATGCAGGGTCGGGGAGAGGGAGTGAATGCAGGGTCTGGGGAGAACAGATATAGTGAATGCAGGGTCTGGGGAGAACAGATATAGTGAATGCAGGGTCCGGGGTTTAGGAACACTTTAATACTGAAAATTATGGCCAAACTGCTATTTGGAAACCATCAAGGCCAATGTACAAAAAATACATAACCTGGTGAAAGGAGCACAAAAACCATACTGCTAAGTAACAACATGAATCCCATGGCATTGACAAGTTTCCTGTTTCCTCTATCCAGGCCGATTTACATTTGGAGAGAGTTAAGGAATGCCCTCAATGTATACTTCCAGCTGTTCAATATGAGGCCTGAGCCACAGCATAAAGATAATGTAGTCAATCCTCAACAGTCAGAGGTATTACTCTTGTATTCAATCAATGCATATACACAGTGACCTCACCCTTCCCCAACACACTGCAGAACACAGAAGTAGCATTACTTAGCCCACATTCAGGTGGGAGATGGCCATAGCCTTCCAGTTCATAAGGTCTCAACAAGCCTAAAAAAGAGGTGGCAACTATAAATTAAACCAACAAAATGAATGCCACAAAAACAGGCAGGAAGCCTAGATAATAGCTTTGTCTCAAAAAAAAAAAAAAAAAAAAAAAAAAGTATTGATGTGGGCCTATACCAAAAAAAAATATATCAAAAAATAAACAGCTGTGAAGAACAGACTGTGTAACGTCGGTAATCAAAGATACCCATGCAGAGTAGCCATGTAGAAAATGTATATACAAAACTTTATTATATGAATCATGCAATTATTATTGGAAAAAAATTATCTTACTAGAGGGGACAAACAAACATCAGTCATAAAGAACAATCCGTACTAGAACGCCTGCATGTGGTCAGTGATATGAATCAAAGGAAACCCATGGAGCCGTCTACATTCACATGCATATCACCAAATGTGGAACCTAGAATATAAATAACATACTCTATGGCAATAAATACAACATTACAATAATGGACTTCAAACAAGGAAGTCACATGAATTTGGTGAGATAAGCTATGGATGGTTAGTGGAAAATCTAGACAAAATAAACTCACATAAAGTAATATGGAGATCAACTAGTCCTCTTGGAAGAATTGACAGCTTTGAAAGAAGTCAATGACAAAAGTTTGTGAGGCTTTAGATCATATCATAGGTTAATTCCATGTAAGAAGTCACTCAGCATAAAAATTGCAGATGATGAGTAGCTTAAAGTGGAGTTCCAGTCTTTTTTTAAACTTCCAATATTTCCAATGTACAGTGTGAGATGGAAATTATGTTTGTTTCTAAATACCTTTATTATAATTCTTTGGGCGGCACTTCCTGTCCCGGCTTCCTAGGAGATGATGTCATTAGGCAATTCCCATTGACTTATATAAAGAGTGCTCCGCCCAACTGTGACCACACTTTGTTCTGGCCTGTGGTCTGCCACCGCTGGAATTGGAAATGTTCACACTGCCTTTATGCACCTTATCTATGCAAGTGCAATACTTTAATACATTTTTTGCTGGTTTATCGGGTCGCACTATGAAGTTTTCTTCTTCTGTTTTAAACCTTTCCTTGCATGATGTGGAGAGCTGTCTGATGTGATGGATTCATTCAAGTGAACCTGCAGTTGTCCATTCATCTCCTATTCATCATCTTGATATGATTAACTAGGGTATCAGTGTGGGATCTGAACACCATCTGCTCATTTGATCTCTTGATTGGAGATCAAAGTGTCTGGTAAGAGGCTGATTTTTTTCTTTTGAGTCAAGCATTTGTCGACACCTCTGCACTTTCCGTTGGAGGATTTATTTAGCACACAGCACGATTATTGGATTTTGGGACTTTTAAATTATTTAATATATGAATGTGGACTTCTAACATTTCAATTAATTTATGCACAGTGTACAGCGTACAGTGTACATTTAGTGTACAGCGCACTCATATTTTAAATGTTTTGTATTTTGTGGTGTTCAGGGAAAGAGTAGCAGCAATTCACTAATTGTTTTACTATTGTTTCAGAATAATTATTTTTTTCACACATTTAATCACATATTGTATTGTCTGGGGTGTAGCGCAGTTTTTTTCCCTTTTTTTCAATTCCCATTGACTTCCTGGATATCAGCGTTATCTATCCCAGGAGTCTTTGGGAAGCCTAATAATGAAATGTGATTGACAGGTTGCCCCAACAACAGGGCAGGTACTTCCGCCACTGCCGCCATTGGTATGGCAACCTGTACTAAACAAACCCCGCCATGCAGTATCATTAGGCGTGAGATCAGGAGGTGCATGCTGGGTAGCCAGCTGCACCAAATCCCAGAAAAAGACAGATGCCCACATCCTAAATGGCCACCTGCCTGCTTCTGAGATTAGGTACGTTTTTTTAAAGATTTTAAACTAACCAGCACAAATACTCTATAAGAGTATTCCAATTTAAATGTACAAGTAATACCAATCACAGGGGAATTTAAAAATAAAATTGATTATGGGGACTGGATCGCCACTTTAAATAGACAGACTTGTATCAAATATAAATCATATAAATCAACAACATAATTCGTAATACAGGCTAGTAAACGTCAACTGTAATGCAGTAGATATGTATAGTCAATGTTGGATCAAGAGGAATTTCAAATTAAATATATCAACCTCTAATCACAGATGATAGAAGCCATAGAGCACGGGCATATAAAGCGGCAGTAATCAGCAACGTTCTCTACAAAATGATAGCAGATATATAGGTTATTGTAATTTGGAGCTAAAAAAGCTAATTTGACAGCAGTACCTTAGAGATTGTATGCCCCTTGAGGGTTAGGGACTGATGTGAATGTACAATATATATATGTAAAGTGCTGCGTAAATTGACAGCACTATACAAGTACCTGTAATAATAATTATAATAAAAAATAATATAGTCCTATGTAGCCACGCAGCTTTAGGAGGAATGGCGGCCCAATAAAGCAAAGATGTATATATAGAAAGTCCAGTATAGGCACATGAAGGAGAGAGGAACTGTGGTGGCTAAGTAGTCAATAGATAACTTATCACTTCAGTGTAAATAATTGACTGTAAAGCTGTCAGTTCTTCCAAAAGATTTGATCTCCACATTGCTCGATTTGAGTTTATTTTATCTAGATTTTCCACTAACTGTCCATAGTTAGCTTATCTCACCAAATTCATGTGACTTCCTTGTTTGAAGTCAGGTATTGTAATGTTGTAGTTATTGCCATAGAGTATGTTATTTATATTCTAAGTTTCACATTTAGCAATATGCATCTGAATGTAGACGGCTCCACAGGCCGCTTCGATTTATATCACTGACCATATGCAGGTGTTCTAGGTACAGATTGTTCTTTTTTGAATCCACTATTCATCACTGACGTTTGTTTGTCCCCTCTTGCAAGGTAATATTTTCCAATAATAATTGTATTAGATATATAATAAAGTTTTGTATATCATTTTCTACATCACTAGTCTGCATGGATATCTTTGATCACCAACTTTACACAGTCTGTTCTTCACAGCTGTTTATTTTTTGATGCAGCTATATTAGTCTTGAGGCTGTGACCTGTACAATCAGAAGACCATCGCCAGCATGTGTTACTCACGTTTGTCTATGTAGCACTTGCATTGAGGTTTAGCCCAAGAGCATTTAGTTAAATGTTGCTGGATCCACATTTTATGTTTCTAGTTCAGCTAGGGGAGGGGCCTTATGTGGTTTAGTTGTTTGGGGCTTTTCATTCAAATATTGCACCAAGAGCCCTGATTCAACTATAGCAGATAACCCTAGGTCGGCAACTCTCTTTGCTGCAACAAAAAGAGAGTGTAAGTGAGGGTAATATGAAGTAAATAGCCCCTGGTACCCCTGCACACTCATAAGTGTGACATAAGTATAGGATGGTGTTAATAATTTGTATTCCTGGTAACCTTGGGGATGCTGGCACTCTGTAGATTAAGAGGTGCTGAAACCTCTGCCCCTAACTTGCCAAGCCAATGGCAGACAAAAACATACAGCGCATTGAAGTCCTGCAGATGTAAGAGGCAAATCCATTAGCTGCTCCGGCCCTCACCCACCAACTCTCCTTCAGTGCCTGTGAGCCCAGAGGCGCCCGATGAAGGACCAAACTTGACACATGGCCAGAGTTAAAGGTTGGCAGCAGTACATCCAAAAGCTGAAATTAATGGGAATAGCTCAGCCCTCACTGTCGTGCCCAAATGGAGCCATCACTAGATGTCCAAATTAGCCCACTGAATGCACCATAAAGCTGCAGCAAAATTCCAGCATAGTGAAACTGTCACTTCCACTGGCTTTCTAAGGTCATGCTCAAGCATGCGCAGATTGGACAGATTGGGACTAGAAGGAAGGCCTTGAAATACCAATGTTGTTCCTCCTAAGCTTGAGGAAAAACAAAAAAACTAGGACATCGAGTCTGAGCTTGTTTTTTTTTTTCTTTTACGGTCCATGAGCCTTGTGTTTTCTGCTTTGGATGGGCAGAGTCACCCTCTAATGTGCTGTCCTGGAAGATGATCGGGAAAAAACTAAGAAGATATCTACTAAGAGTTTCAAACATCCTTTACAAAGGCTTGTAAGGGCAGATGAGTACCTGGAGGTTGGATGCCTCATTGTAGAACTCTCCTCGAATATAAATGTAAGCAGCTCGTGCACCCATACTGCGGCCAGCCACCAGGCAACCTTCCACAAGCTTGTGGGGGTCATGCCGCATAATCTCACGGTCCTTGCAGGTTCCTGGCTCTCCTTCGTCAGCATTGACTACAAGATACTTAGGTCTGAAATGTGAAGGAGATGAAGATTTACATTCACTTTGTCAAAGAGAATACATCATAAAGTATGCAGATACCATATAAAGCAGCCTAATTTAAAATACTATAAACAAAAGAACTGGTTAGAAGAGTGCTCAGTGCAGAATTACAGTGTACGGTGTGTAATAGCCACTATGCCAAGTATCCAGGGTGTTGTGTAAAACAGGCATCACCTACAGACCAACATCTCAGTGAAGCATTTTTTTTTCTTCCAAACTGCTGTGTGTCAAAAAAACTGTACATAGTTATATACAAGTTATTTCTGTAGTTATTTAAAGAAAGTGGAACAAGTGTGCAGGGCTACCACCTCCTGTGAATCATTGTCAGCTTCTATAGCACTGCTCCCAGCCTCAAACGTCTCTGAAAACCTCCAATGAACATAAGTAAAGGCTAGCGCCAGTGTAGATTGGCTAAAACATGCAGTCCTTTATTGAGAACAGTGACAAAAAAGCCATAAAATCCAACGCGTTCTACCCTCAGGCCTTAATCAGGGCACATGATTAAGGCAAGAGTGCCAAAACACGTTGGATCTTCATGGCTTTTTGTCACAGTTATCAATAAAGGACTGCATGTTTTAGCTGATCTACATTGACGCCAGCCTTTACTTACAGTCAGGTCCATAAATATTGGGACATTGACACAATTCTAACATTTTTGGCTCTATACACCACCACAATGGATTTGAAATGAAACGAACAAGATGTGCTTTAACTGCAGACTGTCGGCTTTAATTTGAGGGTATTTACATCCAAATCAGGTGAACGGTGTAGGAATTACACCAGTTTGCATATGTGCCTCCCACTTGTTAAGGGACCAAAAGTAATGGGACAGAATAATAATCATAAATCAAACTTTCACTTTTTAATACTTGGTTGCAAATCCTTTGCAGTCAATTACAGCCTGAAGTCTGCAACGCATAGACATCACCAGACACTGGGCTTCATCCCTGGTGATGCTCTGCCAGGCCTCTACTGCAACTGTCTTCAGTTCCTGCTTGTTCTTGGGGCATTTTCCCTTCAGTTTTGTCTTCAGCAAGTGAAATGCATGCGCAATCGGATTCAGGTCAGGTGATTGACTTGGCCATTGCATACCATTCCACTTCTTTCACTTAAAAAACTCTTTGGTTGCTTTTGCAGTATGCTTTGGGTCATTGTCCATCTGCACTGCGAAGCGGCGTCCAATGAGTTCTGAAGCATTTGAAGGAATATGAGCAGATAATATTGCCCGAAACACTTCTGAATTCATCCTGCTGCTTTTGTCAGCAGTCACATCATCAATAAATACAAGAGAACCAGTTCCATTGGCAGCCATATATGCCCACGCCATGACACTACCACCACCATGCTTCACTGATGAGGTGGTACGCCTAGGATCATGAGCAGTTCCTTTCCTTCTCCATACTCTTCTCTTCCCATCACTCTGGTACAAGTTGATCTTGGTCTCATCTGTCCATAGGATGTTGTTCCAGAACTGTGAAGGCTTTTTTAGATGTCGTTTGGCAAACTCTAATCTGGCCTTCCTGTTTTTGAGGCTCACCAATGGTTTCCATCTTGTGGTGAACCCTCTGTATTCACTCTGGTGAAGTCTTCTCTTGATTGTTGACTTTGACACACATACACCTACCTCCTGGAGAGTGTTCTTGATCTGGCCAACTGTTGTGAAGGGTGTTTTCTTCACCAGGGAAAGAATTCTTTGGTCATCCACCACAGTTGAATAACACACACCTGGTCATGGAAAAGCTGAGAAGCCAATTGTCCCATTACTTTTGGTCCCTTAACAAGTGGGAGGCACATATGCAAACTGTTGTAATTCCTACACCGTTCACCTGATTTGGATGTAAATACCCTCAAATTAAAGCTGACAGTCTGCAGTTAAAGCACATCTTGTTTGTTTCATTTCAAATCTATTGTGGTGGTGTATAGAGCCAAAAATGTTAAAATTGTGTCGATGTTCCAATATTTATGGACCTGACTGTATGTTCTTTAATTCTATCGCTGAAAGGTCTGTAAACATCATGACCTGACAGCTGGGTTTTTACACACAACCAGGTGGATTGCAGCCACGGGGATTGTGTATAAAACTTACAGGCAGACTCCAGCCTGTCGGGTGGAAACAGTCGGGCTGCTGTGCTGCCGCCCGATTGCTTGTGCCCCCCCCACCATGTAATTTGGGCACCGCTTGCTGATCTGCGGGCTTGGGGCCGACATGAAAGGGGCCAGAATGAAAGGTGCTGGAGTGGTGGATGGGAGGGAGAAGAGCAGCTAAACATCCACTCTCCTCCCCTTCTTGCTGTGACCTGGAGAGCAGCGTGTATAACATCACTACTGGGTCACCCCTGTCACTTTCCCCAGCTTGAATGGATTTGCATTGCAATACATTCAGTGGAGTCCTAAAGAGACATGCAGGGTCTTTTTAGAACCTACAACCTCTTTTAGACTCTGCAAGTCTCATTAAAGGGAACCTGTCACTTAAAATTAAAAAATGTGTCCCCTCTGTGATGAAAAAAAAAAAAAAAAATCAAGCGATAAAAAAAAAAAATTTTTTTTGTTTATTGCAAAAAAATAAAGTTACATCCAAGCACATACCATTCCTCCCCCCCCCCCCCCATAAATTGAGACCCCCAACCCCCTCATATGCGTACAAATATACACGCACTCACCTACACCTGAAATTTGTTGATTGAGATATACATGTTACATATCACCAACCCACACCGAAGTGAGAGCACAAGATCTCCGCTGTGATGCTAAACTGGTGGCCTGTAGGGGCCAAGCGTCGCCGATAGAAAAATATAGGCCCACACAAATGTAAGGTTTGACATTCTGGGTTTCTATTTACTCAGTGCATCCTTGTCTTTTATATTTTATCAAACATTGGGATATTAAATTGTGTTTGCTTGCCCTTAAAATCACTTTAGTGTGTTTTTTTACTGACATTTTGCGGTAATATCATGTGACGTAACTACTACCACTTTTTTATTCCCTAGAGTGTCTGCTTTCAGAAAATATATAATGTTTGGGGATTCTGTGTAATCTTCAGGCCTAAAATGATGATTTAAACATGTGCAAAATGAATGCAAAAACAAATCTGGTAGCCAAAGAGTTAAAGAAAACCTCTCAGAAGAGAGATACAGAGGCTACTGCCACTTGTCTTTCCTCCTAAAAAATACCAATTTACTGGCTGTCAGGCTCACCTTCTGATGCTTAGTCACTGACCTAGAACAAGTATGCAGATAGGGACTTATGACTTTTCTAGGACCTCTTCTCCCTGAACTTTATGTTTGTTACAGGAAGTAATGAAATTGGAGGATCATCAGGACAACTTGCATTTTGAGGAAAAAGGCATCAATGGCAATCCTTGTATTTCTTTATGACTAGTTTTACTTTTTAGATCACCAAAACTTTTTTGGTTAATTTATTTCTAGGCGTTAAAAATGAAAAAAGAAACCAAAATCTCTGAATAGTTTTTTGGTGTGTCCAGAGATCTTCAATCCTGGGTGTAGTAATAAAATTACTAGTGTCTCCCACCATTCCCTTAACCAATGAGAATGCTGTCCTGGCTACTGATGCTTCCTAAACTGAGGGAGTCCTTTCAAGAGTTTGCTGACGTTCAACTGTCACTCAGCACCTCAGAACATGTTTGCAAACCCAAAAATACCCCGAAATGACATAGCAGGTTCAGTACACATATTATCATTACCCTCTTCCTTTATACTATATAGATTTGATTTTGGGCTAACAGCGAACAAAGAGGGCAATCAAGAAACGGACAGAAGGCCTAACTTGAACCAGCTTTGTCCAAAGCAAAATAGAAAGCAAGGGGTTGAGCTGGGCTTTAATAATCACTGTTGCCGTTTTTGGACTCTCCTCTTAAAAGTGCTATTTGTTTTGGCTTCCATTGTGATCCAAAATCTTCAATTCTACCTAAAGAAGGGCATGCAGCCACTCAGGATTCTACACTTATTGCAGAAAAAATGAAACCGCATGTGCATTTGGTGGTACAGCTGCCAAACGCAACCTTTTGAATGTGCAAAGCAGCACTATGGCTCAGCATTTTTAGGGTTAAAACTGGCAGTAAAGAAGTGTCATATCCCCTCTTCATTGCGTGTCAAACACCCCTGAATAGTAATCCACTGCGGGATGCCACGCATGAGTCCTTTAACCACTTCAATTTTACTCCCTTCCTGCCCAGGCCCAGGCCAATTTTCAGGTTTCAGCGCTCTCACATTTTGAATGACAATTGCGCGGTCATGCAACACTGTACCCAAGCTACATTTTTATCATTCTGTTCATGCAACTAGAGCTTTCTTTTGGTGGTATTTATTCACCGCTGGGGTTTTTATTTTTCGCTAAACAAAAAAAGACCGAAAATTTTGAAAAAAAACAACAACACGTTTTTCTTTGTTTCGGTTATAAAAGTTTGCAAATAAATAATTGTTCTTCATAAATTTAGGCCAAGATGTATTCTGCTACATTTCTTTGGTGAAAATAACCCAAATCAGTATTTAATATTTAGTTTGTAGGAAAGTTACAGAGTTCACAAACTACGGGATATACCTGAAAATTGATGAATCCTGAAGTACTGACAGCCAATCTAATTTCGTGAGGCCCAAAAACGTCAGAACAGTACAGATATCCCCCAAATGTCAGAACAGTACAGATATCCCCCAAATGTCAGAACAGTACAGATATCCCCCAAATGACCCCTTTTTGCAAAGTAGACAGTCCGACATATTTCATAAGAGGCATGGAAAGTTTTTTGAAGTTGTAATTTTTTTGTCAAAGAAGAAATGAAAAAAATTATTTTCACAAATTATTTTTTACATACTGTCACCAGAGCAGTACAGTGACATGATAACTGGTGTGGCAGTGATCAGGGTGACAGTATGAAAAAGAAAAAAAAAACTGATAATTTTTCTTTAAGATTTTTTTTTCATATTCACTATGACCAAAGTAGTATAATGTTACCATAGTAACATTGTACTACTTTGGAAAAGTGATCAGTTTTTTTTTTTGTTTTTTTTTACCCACAATTTGATTGCTTAGAGCAAAGAATTTCTTTGCAATAAGCAAGTATCTAACTGAATGAAATCGATTCATTCAGGTTTTTTTTGTTGTGATTAGCTGTGACTGGCCACGGCTAATCACATGACACAGATGGACTGTGATTGGCCAGCCCTGTGCATGTGATCACTGTGACCATTCACAGCTAGACACACTTGTATACAATGGTTGGCATGAAAGGAAGCCATCCATTGTATACAGCTGTCATGTGACTGGCTGTGATTGGTCACAGCAGTTCACATGGTACTTGCAACGGGGCCGGTACACAGATCTGTCTTCAGCTGTGTCCGAGGTACACATACGGTGACAGATCTCGCCACAGCGCAGCCCTGCGGGCACACGCAAGGCGCGATCTGGAAATGATGTCATATGACGCTCACCCGGATCGATGAGAGTCCCGCCCGGCCGTCATTTACTATAGACCAGGTGGGAAGTGGCTTAGACTGAGTCAGCAAAGTGACTAAGATGTTCAGGAGGCAGTAAGGCAGCCTTTACATTTCCCACCACACAGGTGTAGGTATAGGTCATTATTATACCTTTCTACTGAAGCTGGAAATCAAGGTTACTTCACCCTACTCATCCTTTTACACTAAATAAAAGTTTAGTTATTTAAACACAATCATCCCAACGATTACAGGTGGGATAGTAGTGTGGGGTCTGGTAATGCCAGTTTAGTTTTTCTCCTGATGTCTCATACAACATCAGGACTTACTGGGTTAAAAAAAAAACACGTTTGCTGCAATATCCACACAGTTCAGACCACCTTACCTTCCATCAGATGGCTTGTTCATGAAGCTCCATTTGAGCCCAGTGGGGAAGCCAGCTCCTCCTCTGCCTCTCAGTCCTGAAGTCTTTATCTCTCCCAGTATCCAATCCACCCCTTTCAGCAGAATCTCCTTAGTCTTGTACCAGTCACCGCGGCTCAGCGCTCCTTTTAACCTGTAAGTGGAAAGGGAGGAAAGGTAGAAATCAGGCTGCAATTGTATTAAAATCCCAACTTAAGAACATTTTTACACTTGGTCCCCAAAGTATTTCTTTTCCACAACAAGATGTCCTCAGTCTCCAAGGCTACATAAAGTCCAGGCCTGCATTAGGCTACATTCACACAGGCAATTTGGCCCGATGCGAATGGCAGTGGCAGGAATCTACTGATTCCTGCAGTCATTTTTGCCACCTGTAAGCGGCTAGCTGTGAGCCTGTACACTTTAATGACACGTGGGTGTGCATCCAGCAGTAACCACCACAGGTAATCGCTGGCTGTTAGAACAGTCACAGATAGCTGTGGCAGCCCCCGATCTCCGCGACCGCAGCTTGCCGCTCACAAGTGGCAAAAACAGCTGCAAGAATCAGCAGATTCCCCCTGCTGCCATTTGCACTGGGCCAGATCACTTGTGCAAATGTAGCCTTACTCAACTCAGAAGACTGGGGGGACATGGAGGGGCATATTTTGTTCCACTTTATTCCAAAGGCTTTAAAGAGTACAAAGCAAATCCATGCACCACAGGAGCTTACAATCTAATGTCCATATCACATGAAGAAATATACTGTTTGCCAGGGGCCAATAAACCAACTAGAAGATTTTTGGACAGTGAGAGGGAAAAACACCCAAGAGGGAGCAGAAACAAACACAAGAGGTGCATAAAAAAAAAATTTCACGTAGGAGCAACTGAATCCAGGACACCAGCCCTCCAAGGATAGAGTGCTACATAGTTAATCTGGCTGAAAAAAGACAAAAGTCCACCCAGTTCAACCAAAAAAAAAAAAAAAAAAAAGTTATAATCCTACACCCACAGTTGATCCAGAGGAAGGCAAAAAAACCCAGCAAAGCATGATCCAATTTGCTCCTGCAGGGAAAAAAAATTCCTTCCTGTTCCCCCCGAGAGGCAATCGGATATTCCCTGGATCAACTTTACCTATAAATGTTAGCATCCACTTATATTATGTGCATCGAAGAAAGAATCCAGGCCTTTTTTTAAAGCAATAAGCTACAGCTACAGCCTTTCCCATGTGGTATGCCCCAGCCACATAAACCATCTGCGTTTATAACAAATTTAAAGTATGTAGAGCAAAAACTTGTCCATTTTTGTTTTGGAAGTATTAGCCAAAAGGTTAAAAACCTGCATTTTTGTTTGTTTTTAGCTGTCTGTGCACCAATGGGGAGATTCTCCTTCCTTTCCTGGAAACACAACAGGAAGTGAAAGAATTTCCTTCTTAGACAGATGTCACCAGAACAGGTGCCCCCACTGGAAGATTCACTCCCACCTCTTATTCTGGCAACTACACCATTTTAGATTTGCCATTACTTGTTGTTTCGGCAACTATAATCACCTGGAAAAATAGTGAGGGTGAATGTATCTAGTGGGGCACAGATGGCAATACAAACCTGACAGAGGTGTGGTGACGTTAATTGTATAGTAAATAGTTTTTTTCCCTATTTCCTCCTTGTACACTATAATATTATTATTATTATACAGAATTTATATAGCGCCAACAGTTTGATCAGCACTTTACAATATTACGGGATACAATACATTTGAATACAAGAAGGATTTGAGGGCCCTGCTCCTTGGAGCTTACAATCTAGGAGGGAGGGGCTAGTGGTACAAAAAGGTAGTAACTGTGGGGGATGGACTGGTTGGAAAACTAGAAGATTCCAGTATTAGCTGAGGGCAGGATAGGCTTCCCTGAAGACAAAGGTTTTCAGAGATCGCCTAAAAGTGAGCAGAGTAGGCGATAGTCTGATAAATTGGGCTAGAGAGTTCCAGAGGATGGGGGAAGCTCTGGAGAAGTCCTGGAGACGAGCATGGGGGAGGAGGAGACAAGGGAGCTAGAGAATAATCAATATCACAATTGGCAAGTCACAACACAAGTAATAGGTGGTGAATGAGAAACAGCGGGGGGGGGGGGGGGGGGGGAAGAGGATATAGAGAGAAAGGTAGCAGGGCCTGGTAGCTTCAATATCTCACATACACCAATTTAGAGGATTTTCCGCCCCTCCCACCATTTCTTAGGGATATTATGAAAACAGAATAGGGATTTAGGTTATACACTTCCTTGTATGTTTGTCTTTTGTACATAGTTTACAAATGTATGTCAAAAAGACTAATTAAAATGAATAAAAAGATTAACCACTTGCCCTCCTGAGGATTTACCCTCCTTCCATTTTTTGCGTTACAGTGCTGCGTTACTTTAACTGACAATTGTGCGGTCATGCAATGCTGCACCCAAATAAAGTTTACGTCCTTTTTTCCCACGAATTGAGCTTTCTTTTGGTGGTATTTTATCGCCTGTGCATTTTTTATTTTTTGTGCTATAAAAAAAATAAATAAATCAAGACCGACAATTTTGAGGAAAAAAAAAAAATATTTTTGCCTTTTTGCTATTAAACATGTCCAGTAAAAAATTTTTTAAAAAATCAAATTTCGTCAAATTTACACCAGAATGTATTCTGATACATGTCTTTGCTAAAGGCGGCGATCAGCGACTTACGGGAGGCATTCTGACACTGGGAGGGTTAACTGTGTGATGGGAGTGTTTTACTAGGAGGCGGTGTGTTGGTGCTTCACTGTAAGCACACTGCTCTGGATGGCTGTGCTGAGCACAGCCATTCAGAGCAGTGTGCACGAGCCGACAGGGAGACAGACTGTTAATAAACAAAGCAGTCCTCCTTCCCGTCGGAGATGCTGGGCTGGGACCCGGTGATCGACAGCTATTGCTGCGAATGGCGGCGCGGGTAGGGCGCCGCCGTGCCTCGTGCAAACCCCCTACCCGGAAATGAAAAATCACGTGTATATATACACGTGATTTTACGCACCCCTGCCCTGTAGCAGTATATCTGCTATAGGGTGTCGGGGAAGCGGTTAAAAAATGACCCCTTTTTTTATTTTGGTCTGGGTAAAGTGGAGAAGTATTAGTACACCTGTCAGTTGTTTCTTGCTGCCTGTTTACCTGCTGGGAAGATTCACCTCTATTTGTCCTGTTTACACTTATCACCGAAAGTGAAAGTAAAAGAAAATCCCAAATTCTAGGTTGACAATGGAACAAGAATAGCGGGGAAATCTTCCAGTAGGGACACTAGTTCTGGTGACCCTGATGACTCACTTTAGATGGATTTCCTCTCACCTCCTGTTGTAGCTATGGGACAAGAAGTGAAGAGAAATCTTCCCAATGGGACACAGCAAAAAACCTGACAGTGTTATAACCCTCCCTTCCTCTATCCAAAAACTTAATAAAACATTTTGCCTTTAGTGACACTTTAACCACTTTCCCGCCCGTAGGACATCAAATGATGTCCTCGGGTTTCAGTGGCGATATCTGGATGATGCCTGCAGCTTTTTTTCCAACTGGCGATTCCCTGCAATACAAAAGCCATCCTAGCAGGCTCATTAGCCGCTGGATTACTTTTACAGGCCGCGGTAAGAGACGTTGCCCCCTCCCAACACCCAATGGTGCCTCTCGGTGCTCTCCTGTGCGATCGAGGATCCAGAGAATGGTACCGGTTTACAATACAACCTGCTGAGGACCGGTCATGAAGTCACTTCCAGCTCTGATAGATGTAATCACTGCCATTTTTTTTCTTTTGCTGGAAAGCATAGATTAACGCTTTTTTTTTTTGATCTCATGCTTTCCAGCATAGAGGAGAGATGTGGTGTTTTTATGGACCCCAGATCTCAAGAGGACCTGTCATGCCTTATTCCTATTACAAGGGATGGTTACAGTGCGCGCAGTTTACTTAGGATAACACCATCTTTTATATTTTTACCAAAAAATTGGGTTATATATTGTGGGTTTTTTTTCAATAAAGTTAATTAAAGTGTGTTTGAAAAATTGCTGTGCAAATACCGTGTGACATAAAAAAATTGCAGCGACCACCATTTTATTCTCTAGGGCAGGGGTCTCCAAACTAGGGCCCTCCAGGTGTTGAGGAACTGCAAGTTCCATGAGGCCTTGCAAGACTGACAGCCACAGGAATGACTCCCAGAGGAAAAGGCATGATGGGACTTCAACAGCTGGAGGGCCATAGTTTGGAGACCCCTGTAGGGTATATATATATATATATATATATATATGTTTGAGTTTGGGTGTTGAGTAATTTTCTAGCAAAAAAAAAAAATTATGATTTGTACATGTAGGAGAGAAATGTCAGAATTGGCCCAGTAGAAGTGGTTAAAGAAAACAACCATAGGTGGTATACCTGCCTGCTAGCAAAGACAGAATCCAAACTGACAATGACATTTCCAACAGAAACAAGAAGACAAAGTAGGAAAATCTAGCAGAGACAGGCCAAGCACACAACAAATTTAGCTCACCTCCAATCATGACGTCCATACAGATTAGTAAAAATTCTGTCCTCATCGCTCAAAGGCCCAAACTTTGTCTTCTTTGGTGCCTAGTAGGAAAAATTGAGAAGTGAATTTTGTACTTAATGTACTTAAGCTACATCTAGTTATGCCAGAGCTCCTCTCTTCCACATCCAGTTACCAGAGGGGGATCGTGGAAGGTAGTACAGAGATCTTATTGCTGAAGCCACATGAGAAGCCAGTAGGTGGTTCAACTACCTATTATCTTCTTTAACCACTTGCCGACCGCAGATAGCCAAATGACGGCTTCACTGCAGCCGACCAGTCCTTGGAGGGAGTCATATGACGTCCTCCCAGAACGTGCCCTCCCGCACGCCCCCGGCGATCTCCGTCCTACGGACACAGCTGATCACGTGATGTACTAAAAGGCCAATCACAGCGGCCTTTTACCACATGATCAGCCGTGTCCATTGACACAGCAGATCACTGGTAAATGCAGTCAGAGCGTGAGGAAAGTACTGCCGATAACCGGCAATTGTCAGTGCCGATTGCAAGGATCGGCAGTGATGATCAGTGCCCAGCAGTGCCACCCACCAGTGCAGTCCATCTGTGCCACCCACAAGTGCCCAGCAAGTGCCCCACCCACCTGTGACCAGCAGTGCCACCCACTTGTGATGCCTAGCAGTGCTGCCTATCAGTGCCCATCATTGTTGCATATCAGTGCCAGCTCATCAGTGCCGCCTATCAGTGCCCATCACTGTTGCTCTTCAGTGACAGCTCATCAGTGCCCATCAGTGCTGCCTATCAGTGCAGCCTCATCAACGCACATCAGTGAAGATGAAAAAATTACCTGTTTGCAAAATTTTTTTTTCTTCAAAAATGTTTGCTCTTTTTTTGTTTATAGCGCACAAAATAAAACACCCATCGGCCACATAACCAAAAGAAAGCTCTATTTGTGTGAAAAAAAAAATTATAAAAATTTCATATGGGTGCATTGTTGCATGACCACGCAATTGTCACTCAAAGTGCAACAGCGCTGAAAGCTGAAAATTGGCTTGGGCAGGAAGGGGGTATAAGTGCCTAGAAGGCAAGTGGTTAAAGGTTCTCCTTTATCCAGGTCATAGTATTGCTAGTAGTAACTGTTCACATTCAACTGGATGTGTTCTGTAAGGTTGAAGATGTTTTGTAGCTTTGCCAAGTTCTTCTTCTTGTCAGTATAAACCCCAGCACTGTAACCACACAGGTAGAACAGACCATTAATCCAATCACCCTGGAATGTGTAAAGCGGACATTTAGCCATTTCCAACCAGGGATCCTTCAGAGTTTGCTCTGGGTTCCTTGAGGTATGGCTGATTGAGCTCCAATATGATGGTGCCTGCATAGCTACTGGGGTCCAAGTTAAATGGCAGAAGCCAGTTACATGCGCCCAATGATCTTTTTAACTGCTTCTAGGAGTCACACTCTGAACAGCATGTTTCCCACTGACCACCAATACTCATAGGAGATCTATTGTTGTTCGGGGGTCTACTGTTTTGGGGGGCGTTTTGCTGCTGGCTCCTCGGGGATCTATTGTTGCTAGTGGGAGCCTACTGGGAGGAGAGAGGGGGGCAGAGACAAAGGACAGTGCTTGGAGGTGAATTGGGGCCTGGGACAATGGGTGATTCTGAAGAAGGAAAAGTACCTTTCTCTGAGAAAAAAAAAAAAGCCCTGCCAACATCCATGGCAATAGCATTACACGAGTAGACAACTCACCAGAACTGGCTCAGTGCCTCTCATAGAGCCTGAGGTCAAATTACTGCCAGTCTCTAAGGTCATTTGACATCTAAGATCATTTGCTGAGGTTTACTGTGCTAAAAGCTTTATTATTAGTATAACAGTTTATAAAAAAGCAGTAAACAATTGACATGCTGAGGAAAGAGATGGGGTCATGCTATGTGTGCCATTCTCCGTTTATATAAAACACAAGTCCGGGAATGCAATATATTTATTTCAGGTACTTATATAGCGCCGTCAATTTACGCAACGCTTTACATATATATTGTACATTCACATCAGTCCCTAACCTTCAAGGGGCGTACAATCTAAGGTCCCTAACCTACATTCATACATGCACATACTAGGGCCAATTTAGACAGGAGCCAATTAACCTACCAACATGTCTTTGGACTATATCTTGCTATAATCCTTGCTTGTCACATTCATGATCTTTATGGAAGGACAGCTGACTCACCTGCTCAGGGGCTGTCGAGTTAAATCTAGCAAAGGCGGCAGCAGGTGCAGGAGAGGGGAGCGGAACACGAAGGATCTGCCGTAGGGAAAGCATCATCCCGATTGGAGATGGCCTGTGATGCAATAATAGGACAACAGACATGTCAGAAGTGTTAAAACTTTTGCAAAAAACTCTCTTCTAATAAAACAGAAAATACACAAATCCAATTTATAGACTGATAAATAACTGCTTTTCCTTTGTAAAATGTTCCACTTTGAACACTCTGCGCCATCACCAAGGCCCTGCTGTCCAGTATACTGTACTATCATTTCATAACACAGCCTGTATTTGTAAAGTGATTGTAAAGTTACATTATTATTATTTTTTTAATAATAATAAACATGTTATACTTTCCTGCTTTGTGCAATGGTTTTGGCCCTCCTCTTCAAAGTGGATTTACATCTTTTGCAGCTACAACACGTAGAGCAAATTTGATGAAACATTTCAGTTTTAACTTCTGGAGTGGGTTCAATTGAAAACATTATTAAACACTTGAGCTCTGGAAGGTTTTACCCCCTTTATTATTATTATACAGGATTTATATAGCGCCAACAGTTTGCTCAGCGCTTTACAATATAAAGGGAGACAATACAGCAACACCCCCTTCATGACAAGAACATTTTTCTTTGGTATCTGCTCAGTCACACAACGCTGTACTTAAATGAAATTGTTTTTTTTTTCACACAAATAGATCTTTCTTTTGGTGGTATTTGATCATCACTGGGATTTTTATTTTTCATTATATAAATAAAAAAGCCCAAAATTTAGAAAAAAAAAAAAACAATATTTTTTACTTTCTCCTAAAAATAAATACCCAATAACTTTTTTTTAAAAAAATCAAATTTCTTCATAAATTTAGAACAAAATGTATTCTGCTACGTCTTTGGCAAGAAAACAAAATCCTAATAAGTATATTAATTGGTTTGCATGAAAGTTATAGCGTCTACAAATGATATGTACTGGAATTCTTTTTTTTTTTTTTTTATCTAGTAATGATGGCAATCAGAGACTTATAGTGGGACTGTTATAGATCAGCGGGGCGGACAATCTGACACTAAATGACAGTGGCACTAATACAGTGATCAGTGCTAATAATATAGATTGTCACTGTACTAACACTGGCTGGGAAGGAGTTTAACATTTAGGGGCAGTCAAAGGGTTAAATTTGTGCCGACCAATGTTTACTGTGTGTACTATGTGCTGTATTACCAAGGCGGTTTTTACTCCCTACTCTAGGAATAAAAAAAAAATAACACATCACTGCTGTCTTTAGAGAGCCCTGTGTTGTTTACCAACACACAGCTGTCATCTGTCATTCACCGAGCAAATCAGCTGGTTCCAGCCATAAATCGTTGGCCAGGACCCGCTAATTGGCATGTGTTGTAACGAATGACAGCACAGGCAGGGCGTCATGCTTCCCCCTACCCAGAAGAGCTGGATCACATAAATGTACATGATCCGGCATAGAGCAGTCACTCTGCCCTAGTTTATCTGTGGTAAGCGGTCGCCAGCTAGTTAAAGGCATTTTTTTCCACCTCAAAATTAAACAAGTTATACTCACCTGCTCTGTGCAATTGCACAAAGCGGCCCTGAACCTTCTCTTGTTGGGTACCCCCACCAGTGCTCGTCTCCTCCTCTTCTGTGTCTGCCCCCATAGCAAGGGCTTCCTATGGGGGCAGACGCATGGGCTCAATTCCGAGCCAGGCTCGGTGTGCCCATAGACACACACAGCATGGCTCAGCCAAACACCCTCACAGGATTTGATTGACAGTGGCAGGTGTCAAAGGCTCCTGCCTCTGAATCTTGTGAGGAAAGAGAGAGCAGCAAAGCTGCTCTCTGGCACAGAGATGGACCGAGAGGAGCATTGTATGCATGAAGGTAAAAAGCCTTCATTGCGCAGCAGCCGTCCCCAATACTCACCCGAGCCCGATCTAGGTCCAGTGATATGCACGGGAATTCCGGCTCTCTCGGGTGTCTGTCTCCTCATTGGCTGAGACACAGCAGCGGAAGCCATTGGCTCCCACTGCTGTCAATCACAGCCTGTGAGGAGGAAGCAGGGGGCGGGGCCAAGGCTTGCTCTGCTTTGTCTATGGACACAGAATGCCGGGCAGAATGTAGTGAGCACATACCAGTGTCCCCATAGCAAGTGGCTTGCTATGGGGGCACTGCTGGGGGGGGTCAGAAGTGTTGGCGGGGAGACTCAAGAAGAGGAGGATCGGGGCTGCTCTGTACAAAACCATTACACAGAGCAGGTAAGTATGTTTGTTATTTAAAAAAAAAAAAAAAAAAAAAAGTCTCTGGTATCACTTTAACCACTTGCCCTCCAGAAGATTTGACCCCCTTACTGACCAGGCAATTTTTTGCTATACTGTACTGCGTTACTTTGACAACTGCGTGATCATGCAACACTCTACCCACATGAAATTTATATAATTTTTTTTCACACAAATAGAGCTTTCTTTTGGTAGTATTTGATCACAAGGTTTTAATTTTTTTATGCTATAAATAAAAAAAAGACCAACAATTTTGAAAAAAAATATATATTTTTTACTTTCTGCTATAAAACAGATCCCATAAAAAAAAAAAAAAAAACAATATTCTTCATAAATTTAGGCCAATATGTATTCTGCTACATATCTTTGGTAAAAAACAATATTGATCGGTTTGCACAAAAGTTAAGCAATCTACAAACAATGGGATATATACTGGAATTTTTATACTAGTAATGGCGGCGATCAGTGACTCATAGCAGGACAGTAATAGTATAGTGGGCAATCTGACACTTAGTGACACTTTGTGGGAACCAGTGACACTAATACAGTGATCAGTGCTAATAACATACACTGAACTAATGACACTGGTTGAACAGGTTAACATCTAGGGGAGATCAAAGGGTTACGTGTGTGCCTAACAGTGCTTTGTGTGTGTACTGTGCATTGCTTTCACTAAGGGATCAGCTGGTTTTTATTTTCTGCTTTGCAGGGAAACAAAACCGACACATCCCCGCTGACAGGACAGAGCTCTGTATTGTTTACGCACGCCCCCTATGTGGAAAAGCTGGATCACATACTAGGTACATGATCCAGCGCGGGAGAGCCGCCTTACATCTAAGCGATGTGGTCAGCAAGCGGTTAAGGGTTAGAGTGCTTTCAAAGACTTTTTTTTACCTTAATGCTTCATCCCACAGTATACTTTCCCGTGTTCCCTCTCCATCCAGTGCTGTTCCTGTTTGCAAAAGCGTATCTCTGTTCCTATCCTCACAAGATACACAGGCATCAGGGGGAGCCACTGGTTCCTGCTGCTGTCAACTACAGCCAGTGAGCGGAGATTGGGCAGAGCAACGCTGTGCTTGTCTATGGTTGCACACAGCCCTTCTCTGAATTGAGCCTGCAGGTGCACCCCCAAGTGGTTTGCTATGGGGGCAGTTTGAGAGGTGGGAGCTCTAAACACCAGAAGAGGATTGGGGGTGCTTTTTGCAAAACCATTACACAAAGCAGGTATGACATGTTTTTTTAGAATTTTTTTTTTTTTTTTAGGTACTTATATAGCGCCGTCAATTTACGCACCGCTTTACATATATATTGTACATTCACATCAGTCCCTAACCTCAAGGGGTGTACAATCGAAGGTCCCTAACTTACATTCATACATACACATACTAGGGCCAATGTAGACAGGATCCAATTCACCTACCAGCATGTGTTTGGATTGCGAGAGGAAACCGGAGTACCCGGAGGAAACCCACGCAGGCACAAAGAGAACATGCAAACTCCAGGCAGGTGGTGCCGTGGCTGGGATTCGAACAAACAACCCTAGTACTGCCAGGCAGAGGTGCTAACCATTTAGCCACTGTGCCACCCCGCATCACTTTACATTTAAGAATTAATTGGGTTAGCATAAGTATTAGTGGAGCAGAATATGGTCACTTTTTAGTAGTTCAGTCACACTACAAAATGTGCCAAAACAAATGTTTTTATTCCTGTTGGTGTCCCAACTGGGAAATTTCTCCCATTTCCTGTCCTGGTGACACACGCAACGTTTACATACACTTTAGATGCTCCTGCAGTTTGAGTGATCTGGGATATTATGTGAAGAAATTATGATTTCTTTTACCTCTGGGTTTTGTGAAGTGTTGGTGCTGTCTCTGTATATACACACATCTACACTATATTGCCAAAAATATTGGGACGCCTGCCTTTACACTTGCGAGTTGCTGTTGTTCCCAGTTGCTTCCACTTTGTTATAATCCCACTAACAGTTGGCTGTGGAATATTTAGTAGCAAGGAAATGTCACGGATGGACTTATTGCACAGGTGACAACCTAACACAGGACCACGCTTGGAGTCACTGAGCTCCTGAGAGCAACCCATTCTCTGACAAATGTTTGTAGAAGCAGTCTGCATGCCTAGGTGATGATTGTATACACCTGTGGCCATGGAGGGGATTGGAACACCTGAATCACATGGTTTGCAGGGGTGTCCCAATACTTTTGGCAACATAGTGTGTGTATATATAATGGTAGCAGTCATTATGTAATCTCACAGCTTCCATAGGCTTGGCCAGGCAGTGCCATCCTCATTGCTTCCCCTTGTTGTCCACAAACTACAATATGAATTTAGGGGACGTGCTCACACACTCCTTCTTCACCCCCAGGTGCCATATTTCTGCTGCAAAACCTAAACCACAAGGTATTAAAAAAAAAAAAAAAAAGAGTCACCTTCAGCAGCAGCAGCCACCAGCGAGCGCTCCTCCTTTTCCTGGACCCTTATGGCGCGTCACGTGGGAGGCATGCGCCGGAAGGGATTCCGGGACGCGCGGCGGCCATGTTTGCTGTGGGCACTGTGCCCGATCCGTGAGGAGAAAGGAGGAAATCTCTGTATCCTCTGTGGCTGTTGAGTTTGAGCAGGGATACATTCATGTTTCATCTATTTGTTGATGGGTTGAGTGAATAAAGGAGATATATTCTGATATCCTTTGTAAGGCAGCTGGGTGAATAAATACAAATATCGGGTAATTAACTGCGTTCCTACCAGGCCTGTTATGATATTTCTCTCCAT